AAGTTGCTGTCCTTTTGTTCTTCAGTCTAGTTGTGGAGAACGTCGCTTCACTGGCCCATGTTGGTATTATCATTGAGCTCTTCCCGGGTGAGGCAGTCGCTCGCCAGCCATTGGACGGCCGCTCACAGCCACTCACGATGGCTGCTGGCCACTCACAGTAGCTTACGGCAGCCCACTGTCGCCCCACTGCAGCATATGCCACTGCCAGCGACTCATGGCAGCCCAGCTCCAGGTCGAGCTGTTGTTCACCATCTTAGCTGTAGAGGGAGCAGCGTCACTGGCCCTTCATGTGGGATTTGAACCAGGTCCCTGCTTCTCAGAGCTGGCGTCCCAAGCCAACTCTTAACCAGCGCGCCACTCGGCTGGCCCTTGAGTATTACAATTTTAATACAGTTTTTTCCTTTCTTAAAATGTGTATACATGTTTTTGGCACCCTCTGTATATGTGGGTGTGCACTTACATGTATGTATAATTCCAAGTGTGTGAAAAATACATATACATACATACATATTTGTGAGTATATGTCTGTAACTGGATATATATGTGTATATAGTAGAATGTGTAGAATTACATTTACATTATTTGTGCATATAAGATCAGACAATTAAGTTCGCGAATTTGTTGCAATGATGTTGCAAACATTTTTTTATATCAGAGAGATTATTCATTATGAATTTGTACCAACTGAACAAACAGTTAACCAAGTTTACTATTTGGAAGTGCTGAAAAGGATGCATGAAAAAGTGAGATGACCTGAACTTTTCGCCAACAATTCATGGCTCTTGCATCATGACAATGTACCAGGTCACACAGCACTGTCTGCAAGGGAGTTTTTAGCCAGTAAACAAATAACCATATTGGAACACCCTCCCTACTCACCTGATTTGGCCCCCAATGACTTTTTTTTTTTTTTTAAGATTTTTATTGGGGAATTTGGGGAAGGGAACAGCGTTGGAGAATCAGGGAAAGGGAACAGCCAAGTTGTTGTCCTTTTGTTCCTCAGTCTAGTTGTGGAGGACATCGCTTCACTGACTGGCCCATGTTGGTATTGTGATCATTGCGCTCTTTCCAGGTGAGGCAGTCGGTCACCGGCCACTCATGGTAGCTTCACAGCAGCTCACTGCCACCCCACTGCAGCCCAGCTCTAGGTCGAGCTGTTGTTCAGCATCTTAGCTGTAGAGGGCACAGCTTACAGGCGCATATGGGAATTGAACCGGCAGCTCTCTTGTTCAGAGCTCGCGCTCTTACCAACTGAGCCACTTGGCCAGCCCCACAGTGACTTTTTTCTTTACCTGAAGATAAAGGAAATATTGAAAGGGAGACATTTTGATGACATTCAGGACATCAAGGGTAAAACAGCAATAGCTCTGATGGCCATTCCAGAAAAACAGTTCCAAAATTGCCTTGAAGGGTGGACTAGGTGCTGGTATTGGTGCATAGCTTCCCAAGGAGAGTACTTCGAAGGTGACCGTAGTGATATTCAGCAATGAGGTATGTAGCACTTTTTCTAGGATGAGTTCGCGAACTTAATTGTTAGACCTTGTATGTGTAATTGGAAGTGTATAGTGATAGGGATAAGTCGTTGGTTGTATCTATTGTTTTGTGTATGTGAGTGTTCATGGACAGATAATAATTTATTACTTATTGTGTATCAGGCACTGGTCTAAGTACCAAACATGGATTCAATCGTTTAATCATCATCACAAGTTTATGAAGGAGGTATGATTATTCCCCCATTTTACAATGAGGAGACCCAGGCAAAGAGAAGTTAACTTCCCAAGGTCACATAGAGATGAAGTGGTAGAGCCGACAGACTCAGTCAGGCTGCAGGATCTGAGCTGTTATCTCCTCCACCATACTGCTCTCATATGTGTTGAATTATACATATATAGGTTTGTGTTTATGTCCATGTAGCTGTGTGTCACATGACAGTACATGTTTGTCTGTTCATGAGTGTCCCTGTGTATATGTGTGTGTATATATAATGTGTGTTGTGGCTTGCCTGTGTATTTGTAGCCGTGTGTGTGTGTGTGTGTGTGTGTGTGTGTGTGTGTGTATGTGTGTGTGTTGCTCTTCACTGTCTTCTCACCCTTCTGCCAAATCTTGCTCCCCCTGGAACCCTAATATCAACTAGCAGGCCATGGGCCCTTACTGCAGTGAAAGAACGGACCCCAGCCCCATCCTGTCTCTGAGGTATCCCAGTCCCTTTAGCCAGGCAGTGCACTCAGCTTCCTCACCAGGCTGTGACTTCAGGGCCAGCCAGCTCTCCCCTGCTAAGGGGAGAGACTAAAGGAACCAGAGGCTCAGCCTAGGAGAGGTGAGCACCAGGGTGGGCAGAGATATACATTTTCCGTTCTCTTTTGGGTGGCAGTGGCAGTGAGGAGCAAGGCAGGGTAATGGTGGGGAGCCACCTGATGAAGGGATGGGAGCAGAGGGCCCCGCGTCTGCCTGTGGTGCCCAGGCCAGCCTGGCTCTGCACCCTGTATATCATGCAGCTCCTCCCTTCCCAAGGTCAACTCAGTGATACTCATTGCTGCACCACAGCCTTCCAGACCTCTGATGGTGTGTGTATGTGTGTGTGTGTGTGTGTGTGTGTGTGTCCTCCCACTGATGCTGTGCATGAAAATGCATTCTCTGAACCTTGGCGTGGGGGTGGGGGGGGTGATGCATTCACTCTGTATATCAAACATCCATTTCATATATGTTGCATTTGTTTTCAATGCTGAGTATCCTTTGAATATATGGTATGAATGTGTTTGTGTATTTCATGGCTGTCTGCATGCAACCTATATGCACCTTCTGTCTACCTTTCATTTATGGTGTTTGTGCCCTGCACATGGGCTATGGTATGTGTATATCATGGGTGCTACATTCCTGTTAAATGTATATTGTGTTTTGCACATATCTTGGACACTACATGAATGTTGTATGCACTTGGTGTTGTTCCATTCATTTCACATTGTTTGCTACTTGCAAATTGCATGCATATTTCATGTGTCACATGTGCATGCTATGTGCTACATGTGGCATCCATGCCCATACACCATGTGTATTGTGTGTAAACTGTGTTATGTGCGCGTGTGTGGGGTGTATGTGTTCATATTCTGGCTTCAGACAGCTCCGCACAGGCCTCTCGCGTGCAAGTGGTCATCCAGACCTTGGATGAGAATGACAACGCTCCCCAGCTGGCTGAGCCCTATGACACCTTTGTGTGTGATTCTGCAGCCCCTGGCCAGGTGAGCTGCTGAAACAGAGGAGTTGGGACCTCAAGACTTCCAGCTGCCCTCTCCATAAAAGGCCTGTGTTCTTCCTCACAGCTGATTCAGGTCATCCGGGCCCTGGACAGAGATGAAGTCGGCAACAGTAGCCGTGTATCCCTTCAAGGTCCTCTGGGCCCTGATGCCAACTTCACTGTCCGAGACAACCGAGGTGAGTGGCCTCCTACAACCATGCCCATGCCTGCCTCCTTCTTCCTCTCCTCCTCTACCACCCCCAGCCCAGCCTGCCTGACCCCTGCCCACCTATCCGGGCCCTCCACCTAACAGAAAGTAGATGTGGATTTGCACATATTTGCTCCTTGTAAACCTTCCTCATGGGAAGCTGTCTCCATGAGCTAGACTGACCCAGGTGCCCTAACACCTTCCCTCTCCCACAGATGGCTCTGCCAGCCTGTTGCTGCCCTCTCGCCCTGCTCCGCCACGTCAGGCCCCCTACCTGGTTCCCATAGAACTGTGGGACTGGGGGCAGCCAGCACTCAGCAGCACTGCCACAGTGACTGTCAGCATGTGCCGCTGCCGGCCTGATGGCTCTGTGGCATCCTGCTGGCCTGAGGCTCAGCTCTCACCCACTGGGCTCAGCACCGGGGCCTTGCTTGCCATCGTCACCTGTGTGGGCACCCTGCTTGGTGAGTCAGGCTACAATAGGACATAGATGTGGAGTCCAGGCCTTCGGGGGTGTGGAGAGGAATCAGGACCCTGAACGTAGGGAAATCCACCCGAGGGCTAGCAGGAACCCTGGTGCCTGGATCATCCCACTGCCTGATGCATCCAAGAGAAAAGCTCTGGCCTCGTATCCCAGACTTGCCCATCTGTCATGACAGTAACAAGCCATATAAACTGTTTATTGAGCCTCGACTCTGGGCTACATGTGGCACTGGGCACATCACTTATGGTATTTCATTTCATCCTTTCAACAACCCTAAGAAGTAAATAGTTTACCTGTTTTCCACACAAGCAATCTAAGGGTCAAAGAGGTTCCAAGAAGTTAGGCAACTTCCCATGGTCACACAGTGAGCAAGGGGAGAAGTCAGGGTTCACAAGTTTGCCAGATGTCAAACCTAGGGCTTGCCACCCCTAGGCCACACTACCTCTTCTGTCACCCAATCCGTCTGCTCAACTGCCTGTGTGGCCTCTCCCCCAGCCCTGGTGGTGCTCTTCGTGGCCCTGCGGCGTCAGAAGCAGGAAGCACTGATGGTGCTGGAGGAAGAGGACGTCCGCGAGAACATCATCACCTACGATGACGAGGGTGGCGGCGAAGAGGACACGGAGGCCTTCGACATCAGCGCCCTGCAGAACCCCGACGGGGCGGCCCCGCAGGCCCCTGGCCCACCTGCGCGCCGCGATGTGCTGCCCAGGGCCCGGGCGCCGCGCCAGCCCCGACCACCCGGCCCCGCTGACGTGGCTCAGCTCCTGGCGCTGCGGCTCCGCGAGGCGGACGACGACCCCAGCGTGCCGCCCTACGACTCGGTGCAGGTGTACGGCTACGAGGGCCGCGGTTCCTCCTGCGGCTCCCTCAGCTCCCTGGGCTCTGAGGCCGGCGGCGCCCCTGGCCCCACGGAGCCGCTGGACGACTGGGGGCCGCTCTTCCGAACCCTGGCCGAGCTGTACGGAGCCAAGGAGCCCCCGACCCCCTGAGAGCCAGCCGCCCTGCCCGCAGAGGTGGGGTAGCCTACACAGGCCCTCTGAGTGAGCCCCTGGGGTCCAGGCAGGCGGCAGCAGCGAGGGGGCCCAGGCTCCTCCCTTCCCTGTGTCCCTCCTCCCAGCCCCTTCAGGGCAACCTCCTTCTTACCTCCCTCCTCCTGAGTTGTCTGACAGTCCAGGGATCCGTGTCTCTGTCTATAACACTCTCCCTGTCTGGGTCTGGGTTGTGTGGCTCCGACTCTGAATCTCTCTGTTCTGTCACTGTGATTCCGCTTTCTCCGTGGCTCTGTTTTTGTCTCTCGGATTCTAAATCTCTCACCCATGCTCTCTCTGTCTCCGTAGCCCCCGCACACGTGCTCTGTGTCTGTCTGCCCACATCTGCCCCCATTCTCTCTGGGTCCCTGTGACTGGCTTTTTGGTTTTTTCTGTTGTCCATCCCCAAAGCAAGAGAAACTTCCAGCCATTGCTGCCCACCCTCCTGCAGCAGATGTTCTGCCCCAGGTCAGTGCCCCTAAACCGTGTGGGGCACTGGTGGTCCGGAGCCCTCCCCCACTCACCACCTGTAACGGGGCTCTCCTGTCTTTACAGACCTGCCCGCATGGTTCCATCCATCACTCATGGCCTCATCCTGGCTCTACTGGCCTCCAGCAGAGAGAGGGAGCCAGCTCTCCCAGGCACGAGCTCCAGCCCCCCCGCGTGGCCGCCTCCCTGGAGCTCTGCCCTACTGGTGGCATCCCAGCTCTGGGCATTGTCTTGTGTTCTTCCCAGGCCCAAGGGGGAAGGGAGGGGGAGGAAAGGGGGAGAGGCAGCTGGGGAAGGGGAAAGAGGGAGGAAGGGGAGAGGCATCCATCTCTAATTTCATAATAAACAAACACTTTATTTTGTAAAGCTGGAGCCCTGTGCTGTTCCTACACTCAGGTTTCTTTCCTTTTTTTTTTTTTTTAGCTGAGCCATCCCGCCACCTGTTGGCAGCTCAGCGGCTGCTCAGCTCGGGCTGGACTCGAACCGCTGTTGCTCAGAGCTCNTTTTTTTTTTTTTAGCTGAGCCATCCCGCCACCTGTTGGCAGCTCAGCGGCTGCTCAGCTCGGGCTGGACTCGAACCGCTGTTGCTCAGAGCTCAAGCTCTTGAGCGAGCTCTTAACCAACTGAGCCACTCGGCTACACTCAGGTTTCTGTATGGAGCAGCGTCACTGTGCCAAAGGGTGGGAAGAGGGCCCTAAGCCTATCCCCTCCTTGTCATTCTTCCTCCTCAGGAGGGCGGTCCACTTCAAGTCCCTCTAGATAGAGGAGGGTTTGGGTTGGTTCCGTTCAGGGAGTAAGGAGATAATGACTTGTGCTCCACTCCCACCACCAGCTCCCTAGGTTCCCTGTTGCTCTCAAACTGTCCAAGGAAATGAAGATGTGGGAACTGGTCAGAGGAGAGGGTGGGAAGGAGTAGAGGGTGAGGGCTACAGAGACGAGAGAAGGAGAGATGAAAGACTAAGAAGAAAGGAAGAGGGACTCCAGACTAGGAAAAATGTGGGCGAGGGGCAAAACAGTCTCTCCTGGGGCCTGTGGTGCCCACTGGGGAAAGGGTGGGCCAGGGTGAGATGGCACAGTTACACTGAATCTGGGCCCGGTGCCCCCACCTTTAATTATACCCTAGTCCATTGTCTTATCCTTAATGGGGCACAAAGGAGGAGGGAGAGGACCAAAGAAGCAGAATCAAAGCCAACGGGTAGGAGCTGAACAGGAGCAGCCAGCTTCTCTCAATGTCCACTCCCTGAGCAGAGAAGGGATCCTATCCAGGAATCAGCATGAGGATCCAGGCCTCCTAACTCCAGGCAGGTCTCCTGTAGACATTAGTAGGTGGGTTGCCTTGTGTCCCTCCCCTTCAAGTGTGGGGTGCTGGTAAATCAGGGAAAGCTGCTTCAATGAGAAGATGCCTTCTCTCACACCTTCCACAGCTGCTTGGTTAGGGCAACCAGGTAGTGGGAGAATAAGGATGCTCGCTCCAGGGCTGGAGTAGTCATTTCCTCTGCTGAAGTCTGGAACTGGACCCTGAACTGGACAGGCAGCAGGCTGTCTGTCCCCCGAAGGCCTCAGGAGACAGGAGGCAGCACCCCCCAGCCAGGGCATCAGAGGAACAAGGTTTTCCAATTCAGAGCAGGAAGGGCAAGATCCCTACCCCTTTGGTATCACCCTGATGTCTTCAAACCTTCAGGAATAAGTGGAGAAAAGAAGGGACTAACCGTGGTGGGCCACTCCTAGGTAGACACGGGATGTGCTCCTTTGCCTGCTCTCCCAGCCCTCCCTAGCACCCTCCTCAACTCATTAAATTTAGAAGGAAAAAACACAGCATAGGGAATCAGGCTTGTCAGCAAGACCCTTGGGCTTATCTCTGGTCTCAAATACCTCATCATCTGGAAGGACAGAACCTGTCAAAGGGAATGAAGAGGGGAAGAACCATGGAAGGAAAAGAAAAGGGGAGAAGCAATGGGAGGAGATGCAAGAAGGGTTCCCCTCCTGTCCTACCTTTTCTGGCTGGGTTCCATCCTCCCTCCCAGTTTATGGAAAGTGCGGGGAGAGGCACAGAGCATCCCAGGGTGCTGAACTGCAGGCAGTTCACAGCAAGCTGGGCTCAGGTGGCAACCCCCGGCTACAGATGGCCACTCCCTCCCTGCATTTCTCACTCCCATGGCCTCAGGATAGGGGTGGGAGGATGCAGAAGTACAGAACTGGTGGGGTGAGCCCTGACCCACCTCCTCTTTATTCTGGAGCATTTTCCCAAGTGACAGACCTGGCATTCTCCCTGATAAGGGACCACTCTCCTTATCCAGGTGTTGCTCCTTCTTTTCCAACCTGTCTCCTGTCTCTGCACACAGGAACCACACATGCATCACCTGCCACACTCTGCACACACCTATCCTGGATCACTCACTCTCACAGGGATGCAAGACCCACACACATCTCTGCACATGGAGATGCACCCTCTTATGCCTGAGTCCATCAAACCCCTGAACCTTGGGCAAAAGCTGCCCTTCCTCCTGTGCTTCTCCGGGACTATGCTGGCCAAGGGGCCCTGACCTCCAGTTATCATTCCCAGAGTCCCACCCCTTCTCCCGAGGCTGAGGGGTTGGCAAAGGGTGAAGAAGGGTTGCTGTGGAGGCCACTGGCCAGATTCTGGACCCTGGCTAGAACGCTAATTCTGTACTGGGCACCTTTCTGCGGCCCCTTTTCCCCACCACAATTTCCTCCCTTCGGTGCCGCTGCTGTCCTTCTTGTGACTCCCTGACCTTTCCGCCTTCCTCCCCAGTCATCCCCAGAAGGCCAGAGCCTGGAGGTCTCCTCTGTCTGGCCAGCTCCTTCCTGGAGGAAGAACCCTTAGTCTGAGGTGCAGGGTTGGGGCTCAAGGCTGGGCTGGAGGCTGGGAGGAGTGCCAGGGGGGAGGAAAGGTGGCTCTTTCCTTGGGACTGGAAGCTGTAGAAGTGGGATGAGAGAAAGAAGGTTCAGCAACCTTCCTTCAGGCCCCATCTCCTGTTGGACTGTGCTTTCTCCCCGACTTGGCCTGGGGAGGGGGTGGGGCAGGGAAATGTCCCTCCCAGAGCTGTCAGCCTACATCCCCACATCAGTGTTTACAGGGGAGGAGGAGGGAGCCGGAAAGGCCAGGAGTAGTAGACATGCTAACCTGACAGTTCACACTGGCACAGCCATCTCCCTCTTTCCTGCATTCCCCAGAGGGAGCTACAGGAAGGAGAGGCTAGAAAGAAGGCAAAGGGAAGGGGGGTGGGGGTGCGGTCTGGCAGCAGCAACAGGCCTGAAAGAACTGCATGTGGGTGGGCTATGGCAATGGCTCCAGGCCCTGGCAGCTAGGGCAGATGAGGCTCGTGGGAGCAGCCTCCCTGGCCCCACCTTTCCAGGCGCTCAGATCCTCTGGGTTCAGTCATTCCTGGCCACCAGGCTGGGCTTGGCCCCGCTACTCTCTCCCACCTCCTTCCCCAGATGCCTGCAGGGCTGTGTCCTCATGGCAGAGAGGAAAGACAGGGAAATGTTCAGGGAGCAGAAGCGGTGCTAAAGGAGCATAGCTCTGGAGTGGAAGGTCTGGGTCCAGGCCTCACCTCTGCCACTTACTCTGTGACCTCAGACAACGTTTCCACTTTACAAGTGAGGATCATTTTTACCTCAAAGAGTTATCATGACAACCACATTCAGTAAAGCAGTAATCATTATAGTCAGTAGAGTCAAATGGGGGGACGACGGGGTGGCAGAGGAGGGGAGCAGATGTAAGAAGCCTATCACCACCCACCAGGTGTCCCTCTGCACTTCCTCTCCCAGCCTGGGCCCTCTGGGCTACTACCCCCACCTAACTCCCCTCCTGGTCACCCCACTTCACCAAGCTAAGACAATGACAAAGACTCTGAAGCTGAGATTAGGACTAAAATGGAAGGAAGAAGAGAGACCAAGGATAGGGAGAAAAAAAGCAGAAGAGAGGATGGCAAGAAAAGAGGGTTTAGCACCTAGCACAGCATCTGTCACGCAGCACACACACAGTAAGTATATGCTGAAAGAAGGACTTGGCGCCAAGAAGGAGGCTGGACCAATCTATTGGGCATCAATAGGAACATGCTGGACAGAACCATCGATAGCTCTGGGAGGCAGAAAGAGATGGAGACTTGGAACAAATGAAGCCAGCCACCCATAAGGGCTGGAGCCAGAGGCTGCGAGGCTGTTCACACCCCATCCTCCACACACTCCCTGGGCTGTCTCCCACACCCAAGTCCTGCAGCTTCTCACAGAGTCTCAGTCTCTGTGGAGAGCCTGGAGTCTCCTGGTACCAGCTCCACAGAGAGTTCTCCACGTTCGACAGCCCTGTGGGGGGTGGCAGGCTCAGGATGGGCCTGGCTGGCCTCCTCCTTGTCTTGTTTCTCCAGCTCTGGGGGCTTCTGCAGCTCGGAGTAAAGCACCCAGGCATCATTGCGTGACACATACTCCCACCCACTCTCTCGCACGTGAAAAAGGTCTATAGAACCTCCGGAGTAGGCGTCACGGTGGGTGGCGTGGGCCACAGCGCAGCGAGCCAAAGCGTAGGCTTCCTGGGTGGTCATGTCGTAGCGATAGCCACGGTCTAGCACACCATATGCATAGGGAGACCCAGAGCCCACCGAGAAGATGTCTCCCTGCAAGCGGGTGCCATCGCTGTAGACATAGAAGAGAGCAGGGCCGGAGCGATCCCAGCCACACAGGGCAGTGGCCACACACAGATCCAGCCCCCGGTAGCGGGACATCATGGCTGACAAGAGTTTGGCGGCACTGGCCACACTGGGCAGCTGACCCTCCCTCAGTGCCCGCAGCCGCAGCTCCCGCTGTAGCACCCGATACCATGTGGCACAGTCAGCAGAAGTGCCAGAAGTGGTGCCCAGGAGGTGCTGGTGAACAGGGATGACTTTGCGTGAGGCTGGACATGCAACGTACTTGCCACAGGAGGAACGTGTGTCGGCCGCAGCAATGACTCCATGACGGAAGCGGAAGGCCAGGGTGGTGGTGCCATGAGCCAGCCTGGGGCCATGGGTCTGCAAGAAGGTTTGAGGGTCACAGCCCTGGGGCACAGCCCAGCCACCAGCCTGAGGCAGGTGAGGTGATAGTCCCAGGGTGTCAGAGGCTTGCCACTTGCACACATCCTGCAGAGCCATCCCTAGGACTGAGTGAAGGTTGGAAGGAGCAAGGCAGGGATTTGCGAGCTGGGTCAGGCGGGAGCAGAGGGACGCTAAGGAAAAGCTGGGCTGCAGCCAGAACTGGCAAGGAAG